TTAAGTGATAACTTCAGTTAGATTGAAGCAGTAGTTTTATCAAGACTGGTTATACGACGTACTCAATTAATAGAGAAGTTTTAGATAGGCAGTGAAGAACGCACATTCCAGTACATCTAGACTGAATTTATGCAAGATACCTGTAGAACAAATGTAATATGGAGTAAATTGGTCGTTGCAGGACCTTTAAATGAAGATGCTGGACTTCCGGAAGCAGATGACGCCGTTATTGGGTTCTATTAAGAATAATAATGTTGATCTGTTTATAGGCTGTTGTAAAAGGTTATTTGCACAATTTCTTAATGAATACTCACCTATCGACTCCACTACATAGCGCATGCAAAAAATACCCTATTTAACTATAGTACTTGTGCATACAATTTACTGCAGCAATTTTAAATTAATAAAATTTTGCATCAACGATGAAATATTACCTCAGCATCTTTCATGATCGTTGGATAGCCAATAAATAGGATATCGTCAATGGCTAACTCGAAGTTTTTATTGCACATGGCTTCTTTAGGAGATAAAATACTTGCCAATAGCGAGTCAGAAAAACTGCAACAAGAAGCAACCGAATCAACATACTGTGTGTAGGATAATTCAATCAATCAGTGATAGTTATTCTTTAAGACAGGCTTTGCTTGGCAATTACAAACTTTGGGTAGCATCTATGATCTTTTAGTCACTACTCAAAACTAACTAGGCTCAACATACGCCAGATATGCCCTTGTTAATTGAATTTATGCCTACCTCCATAGCGGACAATCTATATAGCTATCTGGGGTGAAGTTGTTACTTGTAAAGCTGACACTAAAAATCAACATGGAAAGAATTAAAGATTATGCATAATCGGTTTCATATTTCATTTCTATCGTAGGATAAGCCAGCCATAATGAGCGTCAACTACATGATTCAGTTAGGGTTATTGAGAAAATCATTTATTAGACGACAAAATATCAAGTCGAACAGAAGCGAAGACAAAACAAGGCATAACGATGCCCAATTGTAGCTAACCTTCTTGAGCGGAGTTCCTGCTGGTCCTCTTTGAGTGCAAATAATCGAATTGACCAAGGGCAAAGCACAAAATCATAAATATGAAATCGATCAACAATGTGTTTGTCTGTCAATGAAGTCCCTATCGTAAGGGTAAATTACTTGATTACTAGCTCATGGTTCTTAATTAACAAGAAGCCTAGCTTGAGTTTGCAGAAGCTGCTAAATGGACATCAACAAACATGTTGCTCACCGAGGTTTGTACGGCCACTATTATAGCTACTTTGTACTATACAAGATGTACCACATCGTATTACCTTGCTTACTGGCTTTCTTCTTGTGAAGAAAAGGAGAATAGGGATACTTGAAATACAATTTTTCACCAGTATTTCCTGCTGTTGCTAAAAGAATACAAAGAAGATCGCAATTTTTTGCAGCCATGGCTACCAAATGTCCAATTGGCGACTGTTTTCACTTTATGGACTGCTGGACTCTGAAACTCCTTTGGACGGACAGACATTTGGCTTACTTTGGTCAATAAATTGTGCCCAACACTTCACTACGACAGTACTTTAGTAAGGAGACAGTCGATTCGGAATGGACTGATTTTTTCTAAATTAACAGTAAGTAATATTACAGTGCATTGCATTGCCTATACTAAGCTCTGCTTAGTAATAGTCAATTTAGATCATGAATCTTATTCAAATGAATACGAATGATTTAGAGAACAGATACGGAAGATCTCTACTGAGTAAAACTATTTTTCGATATTTTCGGCCTTATTTGATATGAAAAGTCCGTCCATCCGAGGAAAGTTTCAGGTCTAAGTATTTTTTCTAGTAGTCCATAACTGTACTCAATGAACAGTATACTGTTGGAAGATAGAGTAAAGTTGTATAGTAAGCATTAAAAGTAGCCTGTATCGCTTGCTCGATCGACCTTAGGGAAGGTTTATCTGTCTGTCTGTAATGTCCGTATCGTATTGCGTTTCGTTACCTTGTTGCATTTCAGCGATTTCAAGACTACAGTACAGTACAGTACAGTTAAAAGAAAATTCTCCGCATTGGTGTACTGTACAGTTACAGTAGCGTTCAGTACAGTATAGTACAGTAGTGCAAATGATCTACTGTACATTGTACTGTACAGAGTACTGTACGCTATACAGAGGACGGTATAATAACTAGTACTGTGGACGTTAGCCAGTTTTAATGAACGAACATACGAACGTCCAATTTGAACGTCGGACGTTCATTGAACGTACTGTACCAACGTACACAGTGTACAGTGTCAACACAGTGACTGTACAGTACGGTATACTGTAAGACTATACTATACACTGTACATACAGTAGTACGTAACAGCAGTACAGTTCGTCGACGTCCGATCTGACAACGAACGTCCTTACCGAACGTCCAAAATCGAACGTCCGTTGGACGTCCAATCGCTCGACGTCTACAGCACTAATAATAACAGTGCTGTCGATGCTTTCAGTGCTATAGTATCCAGGAGAATGACCAGCAAAATGCGAAAGCTGTAACCTTTTTCTACTGGACACAGTCTTGTTATGGTCTTGTCCTGTACAGAATATAGTATGACAGTAGACACTTTGACTGCTACCGTATACAGTATAGGAGAATGAACCGGAAAATGCAAAACTATGTCCTCTTTCTACCGTATTGTACTGGACTAGTCTTGTCGTGGTCTTGTCGTGGTCTTGTCGTGTACAGATTATACTATAACAGTAGACGCTTTCACTGCTTCAGTACAGTATACAGTTCAGTATAGGAGAATGACCTAACCTGTGACCTGTTCTACTCAACTACTGCTGGCCACTGAAGAGGAAAACACCCACTTCTACAGTACCGTTTAAGATACCTTATCCTTCATCGTACTGGGTACAGTATTGGCTGATTTGTCTACAGTCTTTACACTGTGCAGGATTGTACTGTACACGGTAAGAAGAAAAGCAGCGATACTTTGCTGGCTGAAGTTTGTCGCGTGTGAGACTGTAGTGTGGACCTTTCTACCACTAGTACTGGCTGACAAAGATGGCGGACTTTTATCTTCGATATTATGTAGGCCATAAAGGGAAATTTGGCCATGAATTTCTTGAATTCGAATTTAGACCCAATGGACTGCTACGCTATGCCAACAATTCTAATTATAAGAATGATACGATGATTCGTAAGGAAGTGTTTAGTCATCGCTCGGTGATGGACGAGTTGAAACGGATCGTGGAAGATAGCGAAGTCTTGCGCGAAGATGATTCCCTATGGCCGCCACCAGATCGTATTGGACGTCAAGAATTAGAAATTGTCAGTGGTGATGATCATATATGCTTTACAACCAGCAAAATTGGTTCACTCATTGATGTAAATAACTGCAAAGATCCTGATGGCTTACGCGGCTTTTACTATTTGGTTCAAGATCTCAAGTGTTTAGTCTTTTCACTCATTGGCCTTCACTTCAAAATTAAACCCATCTAATTTGCATCCATTGCCTGTAGTACGACTTTTTCTAACTATCTTATCTTATCGTTTCCTTTCACTTTTACATAGTCCTATTGTTTGCTAAAAGAGTANAATACCTGTTAAGGATGCCATTGGC